GAGAGGACCCCATCCAAGCCCTCAAGACAGTCCTTTCTGGACCGGTGACCTCTTTGGGAGGCAGGAGAGATTCAGCCCTTTTACTCTAAGACTTGCACACACAGTAATCCCTCTTTCTTAAAAATTGAAAATTTATCAAAAATGCAGCTCTGCCATCTTGAATAGACTAATATTTCAGCCCCATGCAAACATACTGGGCAGGTTTTCTACCATGCCCTGTGTTGGCAGAGTGATTTCATACAGAAAATGTGCTGCCTTATTCATTGTTCTGCTTATCATTAACTGAATTAGTACGATGATTCTTGTAGCTGTAACTGAAACCTTAAAGGTCATTCACCCCCCGGGAAACCTCCCCCCCGCCCCCATCTTCTTCTCTGAACCCATCTTTCCACGGGAAGATGGAAACAGTAATCATTTTCCTCAGATGGAGCCTGTGCCACAGCTGCTCTTGCGGGCTTGCAAAACAAAAAGAAAACTGCCCTGCAGCTCCTCTCCTATCACCACCACCAGCAGCAACAAATCCCTGTCTCTCGGAGATTCTTTGCCCGGCAGGAGGCTCACAGCTCTCCTGGCCTTCAGCAAGGAAGGCTGCAATGTATGAAGCAGTATGAAAATGGTGAAACTTATCAAGAGAGAGGACAGTAGTATGCCCACACCAAGGGCAATGATGGTTCTGTCGTGTCACCTTCAGCTCTCCGGGGAAAGTATTCTTTGACCTCAGGCTTTCCCACTGCTGACTAAAGCCATGGAACTGTAGTAGGAGAATTAAGAAACTGGGGGAGGCTGCCCAGCATACAGAGGAACAGTGGAAAGCTCTCAAGTGCATTTGACGGTTGTTGCAGGTTTGCAAACCGACAGCCAATCAGGAGCATCTATCCCCTCTCCCACTACCCCTCTCTCTAGAGTAGTTTCTCCCCTTCCTTCCTGTTAACCATGCTTTCACATTATTAACCATGGTTAACACAAACTGTGCTTCCCTCACAATCCTAATTCCAGGGGGATAGCAAGGTTAGTCTGTTGCAGCAGAATTATGTAGGAGCGCTGCGCAGGGATGCAGCCAGAAAAATTTGGTTGGTGGGGTGTGGGGAAATCGGGGCACCCTGGCCGTACCTCTGGCTCTGCTGTGATTTCTAGTCCTCCTCAAGTCCCGTAGTCCTCCTGATCGGAGAGACTCAATCCCGGCCTGCTTTTCTGTGTAAGCTAGGGTGTGTGTGTGGAATCTCCAACTCTCTCTCTTGCATTTTAAAAAACCTATTTATTTTTTGTCCCAGAAAAAAGAAAATGTGACCGAAGCTTCCCTTACTGTGCCTGGGGTCATTTTGGAAATGCCATGCACATCTCACATTAAAAAAAAGAATTGTGGTGTTTTTTTTGTCCACAGGGGTGGCACCCATCTGTGTGGGGGCATGGCCCCCAAATGCCCCCCGGGGCTACGGGCCTGGTCCTGCAGCACCTTGAAGACGAACAAGGTTTTTAATTTAAGGATAAGCTTTTGTTTTCTTTCGCAAATCACTTCATGCTATGGCTTCAACGCCTGGTTTACAAGACAATTTGCACATTTAACATGATTTAACGGGGCAGAGGATATTCTCCTGAAAGGTGTGCATGTGTTCCCAAAGCTGCTTCCCAGCTTACCAACAATTGCTTGCGATGAGCTAGCTTTACTTTTGTATCAGGCTACTGTAACCTAAACAGTACCTGCGCCAAGCACAGCTACACCTGTGTGGTGAAGGCTTCCAAGTGGACGTGCGAAACACAGCTAAGAATTATATGCCAGCCACTGGCAACAACCATGTTGCCATTTAGTTCACAGATAATGTTCATGCTTGCATAATGTTCCTTATGTTACCAGCTGGATCATGCAGAACAAGTTACAAATAACCAGCATTCACAGACTAGTCAAAGGAAAATGGGGGCAGATGCAGACTCCTGCGGATGTGGTGGCTGCACATCTTCCCAGGATAAACAATGCAAATGGGTCAGAAAAGTGTTGAGGCTGCCCATCACTACTTCTATTTGACCAGCTAAATGGAGGCAACACAGCCCATGGGATTCAAAGACAGCATTGGGGAGGGATCTTTTTGCAAACCTTGCAAAAGTTTTCAGAGTTCTGTACTTTACACTTGGATGATCTGATAAAGACTTTAAGAAGTCCCTGCAAAGCTTATAAAATATGCAGTAATCTCTTCCGAATCTGTAAAGCCTGCATGCCTCCTAAATCCTTGAACTGGGACATATCTGTTTAGGACTAACATGCAGTGTTAATCTGAAAAGTGACTATGTAAAAATAGCATAGCAAAGTATAGTGCTTTCAGTGATTTCCTGTGCAGATGTGTCCTGTCTACAAATTGCAATAAAATAAAATCACCCTCTCTATTCCCTATGAATGTTAGATACATAAATGTTGTCAAGTTTCAGCCAACTTATGTCAACTCCAGTAAGGGGCTTCAAGGCAAGTGAGACGCAGAGGTGGTTTGCTATTTCCCCATCTCTGCAGCATCTTCCTTGATCATCTCCCATCTGAATACCAACTCTGCTTAGCTCCCGAGAACTGAAGAGATCAGGCTATACCATGCTGCCTTCCTTTCCCCTATGAATGTTACAGTGAACCTATCTGGAATTATGTTCATTCTCAACTTTCTACAGATTTTGTAGGATAGTTCACATAATAGTTCACGCTCAGGACTGCACTGTTAAAATCTTCTTGTACCTAAGATGATTACTTCCAACAAGGTGGCATGAAAACAATGTTTCTAAAATAAATTAATTAATGGTAATAACAGAATGTCATGAAAGAGTTGTTGAAAACCCTTAAAACTGTGAACACAAGAGGAGAAACAGCGGATTGGATCTTACGAAGGCTGCTTCTGCACAGCAGAGATCCCTCATTGTGCGGTCATTGATACTGTGAATACAGGCTAATTTGAATATGCAACAGAGGGTCCAAAGGGAGAATTCTTCCCTTAGTCACCCCTTGTTGTTGTGGTTGTTCAGTCACACAGTCAAGTCTAACTCTTTGCAACCCCATGGGCCACATCACGCCAGGCCCTCCTGTCCTCCACCATTCCCTGGAGTGTGCTCAACCATTTCCCCCGTGTGGTGCAATATTACTATAGGCGGAAGAACGTAATCCCCATCGCCTGCGTGCAGCAAGCCCGATGAGCCAGCAGGGGCCGCTGTGGAAGCCTGCTAACTGAAGCTCCCCCTCTAAGAAAGAACTGTGCAAAGAGGCATGTGACCGCCCGGAAAAAAGACGGAAGGAGAAGCAAGAACATCTGCGGAAAAAAGCCTTCGGAGGGTATCTGGTAGGGTTCCCATCCCCCTGAATTTGTAGCCATAGTTAGGATTCTAGAAAGTGTGTGCACACACGATACTTTGTAAGCCGCCCAGAGTCCTTCGGGGGTGGGCGGGGTAAAAATCCCATTATGTAGTAGTAGTAGTAGTAGTAGTAGTAGTAGTAGTGGTAGTAGTAGTAGTAGTAGTAGTAGTAGTACTATTCTGAATGTTCTGGAAAAAAGAAGTTTGTTTCTGATAGACTTTTTCCATTCCCCCCCCCCCGAAATTGGGAGTGCACTGAAAAAACACACTATAAAATAAAAAATAAACTCCTATAGAACATTTTCCTCTTTTTAGAACGGGTAAAATAAGTCTTAAGGTAAGGTTTTCCAGCTCAAAATGTATAGCATGAAAAAGCCTGAGGGCCTGGGAAATTTGGGGGGATATGCAGATGATACCACTCTAATGGCTGAAAGTGAAAAGGATCTAAAGAGCCTCTTGCTCAGAGTAAAAGAGGAGAGCGCAAAAGTGGGCTTGAAGCTCAACATCAAAAAAACTAAGATCATGGCATCCGGCCCCATCACTCCTTGGCAAATAGAAGGGGAAGTCGTGGAAGTAGTGACAGACTTCACGTTCCTGGGATCCCAGATCACCACAGACTGTGACTGCAGCCATGAAATTAAAAGACGCCTGCTCCTTGGGAGGAAAGCAATGGCGAACCTAAACAGCATGATAAAAAGTAGAGACATCACCCTGCCAACAAAAGTCCGCATGGTCAAAGCAATGGTATTCCCAGTAGTCATGTATGGCTGTGAGAGTTGGACTATAAGGAAGGCCGAGCGCCGAAGAATAGATTCTTTTGAACTATGGTGCTGGAGAAGACTCTTGAGAGTCCCTTGGACTGCAAGAAGAACAAATCAGTCAATCCTCAAAGAAATCAACCCTGACTGTTCCCTGGAAGGCCAGATAATGAAACTGAAGCTCAAATACTTTGGCCACCAAATGAGAAGGGAGCACTCACTGGAAAAGACCCTGATGCTGGGAAAGATTGAAGGTCAAAGAAGACGGGGACGGCAAAGGATGAGATGGTTAGACAGTGTCAGCGATGCAACGAACATGAAATTGAGCCAACTTCGGAGGACGGCGGAAGACAGGAGAGCCTGGCGGGAGATTGTCCATGGGGTCGCGAAGAGTCGGACTCGACTGTGCGACTGAACAACAACAACAACAAAACTGAAAAAAATCCCTTGCACTAAACACAATACAATATTTTAAGGGTTTTTTTTTGTTTGTTTTATCTAATTCATTTTGGCAACAATTAATATACTATTTTGTGTTTAAAAAGTAAAAGAGGTGAAACCATGGAACATGGACAATGCTTTGAAAAAATCCAGGCCAGTTTAAGAGTCAAACTGGAGCAAAACATCCATGGAGAAGCAACCAAATGTTCTCCCTCAGTGTTGCTTAACTGCCCTCTTCCCTACAGCCCCATTTCCACATGGGTTTTCTCCATGCTGGTCCCACAATTTCCAGCATATCCCTTTCTGTGGTCTAACAGGGTCTTTCTTCTCCTTCTTTCACCAACAGAGAAGCTGCAAGGCTTTAATACGGCATCAGTAATTTCATCTAATGGGTCTCTACACTTCAGTCACAAAGCAGCTACAATTCTTTGTTTAGAAACTTCCATTGATATGAAACTTTAGTACACCGGAAACTAATCTTACCTGACTCAGAATATTTATACTCCTCTTCTAATGTTTCTGGAGAGAAAAACCTCCTTAGGATTGTGCGAAGGCACCTCTGATCCCAGGCATCTGTAACTCGCCCACCATACGTAATTTCACCTGCAATGTTATTTTTACAGGTTATGATTTCATCTTCTCATTTTAACATATGACACAGTCTTAACTCTCATCTTCTCTGAAGAGTGTACTTGTTGAAAAACGATCACTAAAACACTATGCATTGTACATCTAAATCTTTTCTAAATGCAGTAATACAAATAAGCAAATTGTGAACATAATTAAATGACTAATTTTAACATGCAATTATTGAAGACTTGAACTTTAACCAGTACATTGCCTGCCTAATTAATGAATTGCATGCACAATTTGCTGTTTAATAGAGGGAAAATACATGTGCAAACAGGCATAGTTGTCTTGAATGTGGAAGCCATGGCCATTGTGTTAACACACTTTCTTCTCTGTTTAATTGAATCTCATCCAAAAAGAAGCATCATTTTACTGTTGGTTAGGTTTATGCACAACAAAGAATGGATCAGAACTAGGCAGTGATCAATGATCTATGAGAACATTTAAGGGTTTTAAGCACAAATAAAGGAATAAATGCTAAAGATCATGCCAAAATGTGTTCTTCACACCGACTTCACAGTTCCAGTCAGAGTCACCCATGTCTGAATGGTGAGAGGCAGCCCAGAGCTATACAAATATGCAGAGATCATTTTAGCCTTAATTCTGCAACATAGATTAGATTGTGCAGTCCACACAGAATTACTTTCTTTTGTCACTGCAAACCCTTTTTGGACTGGAATAATTTTGGCTTAAACCTTACATGTAACAGAAAGGAAACACACTTTAAATGTTTTAATTCTGTATCCTAATGTTTGTCCTAAATTTAGTCATAACCATATTTATTTTGGAGTAAAGCCTGGTTATTTTGAAACATCCGAAGCACTACACAAACTATTTTTAAATGAGAGAGGTATTCGTTCAAAAGAAATCAGTGCTTTTCTCATTCTGTGATATTGCTTGGGGTATCTTCCTGGTGAACGATACTGTTGAAGGATCACGGGTTAGACTGAAAGACTTGAGAATAGTCACTGGTAGAATTCTATTTTGTAGATAAGATTCTTCCTTACAAGTTACTGTGAAGCAACCTGAATGGGCTCTGACCCCTTCCAAGTTTGTTTGAACCAGAATCTAATATATTTATTTAGCAGAGGTAAGCCAGTATGTCATCCTTTTAGCATACATGTAATTTATCCAAAGCTAGATGCTTATAGCTAATTGGTTAAGAATAATGGATAAAAAAATGACTGGATAAAAAAAATGCTCTTTATGGCAGAAATGGATAAACTAACAAAAAAACTTAACGGTAAAGAAGATGAAGAATTTTACGAAGAATGGAAAAACTTCAGAGAATATGTAGAAACAAAATGGAATGTTAAAAATACTTTGATAAGTTTTGATACTTACTAGAGAGACCAGAAAATGAATGGTAAGATATAAAACTGTTAAATGAAAGGGTTGTTACCTGAAAGATGAACTTGTATATTGTAAAACAGACTTTATAATTAAGATGGAATTTTAAGGGGGGGAAACGCACTGCGGGAAGCCTTGTAACGGGGGGTAGGGGTAAAAATTGAAAAATTGGATGCAAAAGAGATGATTTGTAATGGAATTTTTTTTTTATTTTGGTTTTCTTTTGTATCTGGACAATAAAATATCTTTAAAAAAATAATGTTTTCCTAATTTGTTCTGGTCACACAGGATACATGTGGAACACTCTGTTGCCATTTCCACTGCTTTAATTGCAGACACTCAGAAGCTGAGTAACTGGCTAATGGTTAAGTATTGGGAAGAGACTAATGTTTCAAAACAAGACTGTTGTGGTATATAATACAGGTGTACCTATGATCAGCAGCAATTGCAGGCTCCTTGCATAATAAATAAAGCAAAGGAAGAAAAACAAATGCTACTGCATGGAACAGAATATGGACTGTTGATTCAATTAAAACAACACTATAACATTGTAAGGCTTACAGGTCACTCAAGAGACTTGAGAAATGATACTCAGTGCAGGAAATGCATATAACCCAGCCACTTTCTAGCCCAGCAGTATTTACTAGACTGCTCTAAGCCACCACAATGAAAATCCTGACAAGACCGGAGCCTAGGTCAGCTTTGGCTGGTAATGCTATCTTCATGTACAATTTATTTATTAGTTATCAAATGTATACCCTCTCTATCCAGACACTTGCTTGAGGGAGCTCATAAAATAAAATAAAAAAATTCAAATCACATTATAAAAAAACAAAAACAATCAACAATACAAAAAACCAGCCATACAACTTAACAGCAGGGAATCCCTTAGGGCATAAAATGGGAAGGAGCAGGATAAAACAATGTTCAGTGGCATATGCTTTTTTAATCTACAAAACTACAGGGTCAGGGTAATGGAACAACCTAAAATAAGGAGTAACAAGGATCCATAATACAGAAATATAAGGTTGTTGATACATCTCTATTATCTTAATAGTAAAACATGAAGATTACTAATGCAAAACTGTCAAGCAAGCAATCACAATCTCTTTAACTAAAGTGTAAATATCATAGAATTAAAGTTATGCATTAAAAACCAACAGCAGGCTATCAGAGTTCATCTGTTTTGCAATTTCCTTTCCTCTTATCAAAGTCCAAATTAGGTTTTAGATGGTTTATGGGCAACAGCCCCTAGTTCTGCTTCAGGATCAAAGAGTTTTGCCAGACTCTTCAAGATGGTATCACAGCCTTCCCCATCTTTCTCTCTTCTTCTTCTTTCTTCTTCTTCTTCTGTGTCTTTGTTCCCCTCCACTTTTTCAGGTCCATCTTCCGCTTTCTGTTGTTGCTTCAGGAACATACGCTTTATTTCTTACATATGCTTTCCTTCCTGTTTGTCGCCATTAGGAGTGTTTTAAAGGCCAGGAGCATCACTACGAGCTTGGAAGGTTTATAAACCAGGGGGCCTGAGAGCTACTGTGGGCTCCCAAGACTAGGGCTGCTGATCCCCACCACCACCCAACAGAACCGCAGAAGGGGGACAAGGTTGCAGAAATCAGCACGGCACATACTGTGACATCACTACATGGGCAAATCCACAAGTGACAGCATTGTGCTGGTGGAACACTCTAGGATCCACCAGAAACTCTACGGTGAATCCTAGAACATTGCGGCAAAACAATGATGACACTTCTGGGGCAAACCAGATGTCGCATTGTCAGCGGATGCCTCCCACCGTGCCTCCGCCACTTCATTCTTCTAGCGGGTGCCAGCCACTGACTGGCAGCCCTAACCCAGACAAAGATTCTCTCTGAGCCCCTCTTATACCACCCAGACCCAACCCAAACAACATATGAAAGCAAAGTACTTAACTTGCCTGGCTCCATGGCTCCACTGGTAACTAGGGTCCCTGTACCCCTAATGCTCTGCCCCCCGCATCAGAGCAGCCCTGCTCACAGATGGACAAAGCGACTGAGAACACTCTGAATGATAGAGATGAAACAGTACATTCTGCCTAGAGGGCCAGTGAACTTAAATTCTTTGTTACAGATCTTCATAGCCTGAATATTTCCATCTCTTTTGGTCACTATACCATTATTAGAATGTTAAGTTTAAAATGTTACCTTTCATAACAGCAGTACATTGAAGCAAGTTCACTGTTCTGCAAAAACATATGTTTTATAGTTGAAAAGGAGACCATAACTAACCTAAGCTGATTACTGATGCTTAATTGAACTGGGGCTATTTCATCTGCTGTCGCTTGCTATTTTTAAAGCAGTTTAGAGTTAGATTTTAATTACAGAATCTGATTTAATTGTACATTTTTTGACATTCGTTGTAGATTAGCTTGGTTGCTGTTCTGTTCTTTTCATTTTTCCCCTTGTCGTAAGCTATCCTGAGGGCCTACTGAGCCATGTGGTAGGGAGAGATATATAGCTAATTAACTTAATAAACAAATAAATAAAGTAAATATATTTGGATCTAGGCAGCTAGCTGGACAGAGCGATCTCCATGAGGCTGATGCTAGAGTGAAATAAATTAGCTATAAACAAGTGTTTAATAGACATGGGTGAATGAACAAATCTTTACAACTCATACTGACAGAGTACTTTCAGCTGCAATTTGTGCCCACTGAACAGCCTTTACTTACTAAGCAACCTTGTAAGCGCTTGTGTTCATTTCCAAGGAATTTTAATCTTCAGCTTGGTAGAACACAAAGCTGAATAATGGGGAACTCTCGGCCTATTACGACAGAGGGAGATGTTTTACAGCTCAGCCCAAAAGCAAGTATGTAAATTGCGTAGGATAGCAACTAAGCCCCAAGGGGTGCAACATGGAGAGATATTAACATAGTGCCCTGCCAACACCACACTGATAGAAATCTGGGGCCACAAGTGGGTAATGCCAGGGATGCTTCAGGGGAGGACAGGGACTAGCTGGCATCCTAAACTTGTTCAGGTCACATCCCACCCCATCCCCCAAGCTGTCATAGACTCCGTCTTTAAAAAAGCTGTCTACATTTGGTGTCGTTTTCACACCTCAACGGTGCTAGCATACTTTCGCATGTCCACATATGCGGCTCCACTGTCACTGCACCTCTGCACTGCTTTAAAAGAATCTTCTCCAAACAACAGTCAAACAAGCATAGAGAAAGACGGCGTCACAGCAGCACGAAAATGATTTTAAAATGCAAATGCAGATTCAGCGCTCGTGTTATGCCAGTAAAAATGCCGTTACTGGGCGAACCTGCATTTGCATTTTAAAATCATTTTCGTGCTGCTGTGACGCCGTCTTTCTCTATGCTTGTTTGACTGTTGTTTGGAGAAGATTCTTTTAAAGCAGTGTGGAGGTGCAATGACAGTGGAGCTGCCCCAAAGGACGATAAACATATGTGGACCTGCGAAAGTATGCTAGCACTGTTCAGGTGTGAAAACGACACCAAATGTAGACAGCTTTTTTGAAGTCGGAGTCAAAAGGCTGGGACACCAGTGGGAAAGACAAATGCAGATTCCCCCACAAGTATAAAACCCCTCAAATTGAACTCAGTGGGAATTAAAAACAAAGCC